CCGCTCCCGGGCTCAGACTCCTCCTGAGCCGCCTGCACAGACGCAGCTGGCCAGGCCACGGCCAGGCCTTCCCACCCCTCGCGTCTCTGCCGGGCTCCCTGGGACACCCAGTCCCGCCCCAGGCGGCTCAGGACCCTGTGTCGTTGGCTTCCCTCCAGGGAGAATCGCGCGTGTCATCTGCTCCCGGCCGTCCTCAGCGGTCCCCTGGCCGTGCCGCCTTTCCCTCAGCTCCAGGAGGTCCTCGCCCGGCAGTGTCCCCGAGCACCTCATCTCGCCTCATACATCACCGAAAGATGACGAGAGGGGCCGGGGATGTAGCTCAGTGGTGCCAACGCCTGCCTCATAAGCGCAAGGTCCTGAGTTCGATCCCCAGTACCAAGAAAAAAAAAACAAAAACATGACAAGGACCAGCTGAGTGGAACCTTGTCCAAAGCCATCCTTGCTGCCTTTATCGAGACACTGTTCAACCTGTGAAGATGCTGCGATCCCCCGTCTGCGGGTCCCTATTTCTGTACAGAATTATTCCCATCAGTACACAGCCGCACCACCATCCCTCTCTGCCCACGCTGCCCTCTCCCGGGGCCTCCTGCTGCCTCCCAGGGCCTTCACACTGAGCTACATCTTCGGCCACTTTAAAAAATTTTGAGGTACTACCTCACTAAGTCGCTAATTTCCCAGGCTGGGACTGAACTTGCAATCCTCCCGTCCCGGCCTCCTAGAGTGCACGGGCGACAGGCCCGGTTTAGGGTCTGCTTTCTTCGCTGGTTTCCCCAGTACGATCCCCCCAGCGTCCTCACTGTCACCCACCCTAGCCCAGCCCTGGGGCTCAGGGTGCCAGGACTTGGGAAAGTTGATAGCCCTGCGAGGGCCGTGGGAGAGGGAAATGACAGTGAGCCTGGACTCATGGCCACCCCTGGGGTCCGCTGTCCCACTGCGGTGGAAGCCCCAGGCCGACCGTGTTTGTTGGGTGCACTAGGGTGTTTGCACCTAGGGAATGATCTAATACTACATCCCAGCCCTTTGTAGTTTTGGTTTTTAAAATGTTTCATTAGTCTGTATCTGCAGTCCGTGATCACATTCATCATGGGGAGCTGGTTCACGTACAGGTACAGCCTAATTCTTTTTACTTCCCCTTTCCCTCGCTTCCCCTCCCTTCACCATCCCTGGATCCCCTCTCATTACAAAGGGTCTGTCACCTCGCTTCCTGGTGTCAATCCTTTATTTTGCTCTTTAAATTACTTATACTTTGGGTTTCTCATATAAGAGAAACCATGTGCTATTTAAGCTTCTTGTGTCTGATTTATTCCATTTAACAACAACAAAGAAACCTCCCTTTATGATTTCAAGGTCCATCCATTTACCTACAAATGGCTGAAACACATCCTTCTTTATGGCAGAGTAGTACTCCACTGTGTAAATGTCACATTCTCTTTATCCAGTGATCTGTTGGTGGCCTATAGGCCACTTCTAAGATTTAGCTATTATGAGTCATGCTGCTGTAAACCCGGACGTGGATATGTTACTGGAATATGATGTCTTTAAATCTTTTGGAAAGATACCTAGACAGTGAAAAGCGAGACCAAATGGAATTCATACTGTTGACTTTTTGAGGAATCTCCATACTGATTTCCACAGTGGTTGTACCAGTTTACATTCCCACCAATTATGTAGAAAGATCCCCACTGCCACCACAGCCTTGCCAGCATTTATTATCTGAGTTCTTGATGATAGCCATTCTTTCTGGAGTAAGATGGAATCTTAGTAGTTGGGTGTGTTGGCGCACACCTGTAATTCCAGCACTGGGGAGGCTGAGGCAGGAGGATCACTGTGAGTTTGAGACCAGCCTGGGCTACATAGTGAGTTCCAAGTCAGTCTCAACTACATAGTGAGATCCAGTCTAAAAAA